GTTCAACTTGCCTATTTATTCTGTCTCCACCAAAGAGATGACTAGGCTGATAGAAAGTAATGGGAGTTTTAGCATCGAGAAAATCGAGTTGACAGACTCTAGTTTGAAGGATGGCCCAATCAATGCCCAAGCTGTGATAATGCACGTAAGAGCTGGCATGGAAGAAGTTATTGTCAAACACTTTGGACGAGACATTGTCGATGAACTATTTGAACGCGTATCTAAGAAATGCATGGAGGATATCCACCTATTGGAGTCGAGCAACATGAAAGCACAACTATTTATTGTTTTGAAGCGAATATGATGTGAGTTTACTATATCAATGATCATTAGATATGGTCCTTGCTCATGATGAACTATATATATAATAATGTATCGCAGAAATCGCCTAGATCAGTAAGATATTATTGATCTGTTTGACGATGAATAAAAGAATAAAACTTTGGACCTTTTAGGTTCAATACTTACAAGCTAGCTTTGAGGGTTAATTATACTTTGTCCTCAAACTATGAAGCGTGTGTCACTTTGTCTTCTCAATTATCATGTTGATTATTATTTTCACATTGCCCCAATGATTAATGTCCACTAGAAATTTGATGAAAAATTTCTTTATTTGGTCTCTTGAACTAGGTGATCTTGTTTCACTTTTTCTCGAATACGTTTACATTTTTTCATCTAAAAGATATTAGACATTTGTATTTTGGCCGATGTGAAATCAATTCAAGTAATTGAGAGAACAATATATGAAATTGAATAGCTCAATGGGCAAAGTGAGATGAAGACCATCGTTTTGGGGACAAAATATAATTAATCGTAGTAGTAATTTCAAAGCCAAAGTAGAATTCTCGTCCTACTCGAAGGCCGTAGCAACAATGAGTACTGCTGCTACGTATCTATTGTAGCTCTAAAAAAATAAAAATAAAAATATCACAATATAGCTGACCAGCTACTGACATTGCATTGGCCTAAATTTATTTCTATCCTCTTAACTATTAGTGCCTCAATTACTGAAATTATTTATATTGTCTCAAAATTATCATGTTTTAACAAAATTTTGTCTTAATAAGTGGAATCTCAAAAAGTTTTTTATGGCAATAAAAATTCATCTCAAATACTATTTGCAATAGTAAATAAATTTTTAATGATAGCACTACCACCACAATTTTTTTTTTTCTTCCCAAAAATATTTTTTTTTTGGGGACAGTGATCACTTCCACTACAAAAAATTTATCTCAAAAGACCCTAATTATTGTAATAACATATATTTGGGGCCCAAAAAAATTTAGGCCCTTTAATTTTAAGACAATTTTAGGTACAAACTGTAAACTCAATAAGAAATCAATATTAAAATAACGAGTTTGGATTTAACCTTAGTAGATATGGGTGATAAACAAATGAACTTGATAGAGCTCTCAAATAAACAAATTTACATAAATCCGATTAAATACGAAATAAATATGTTAAACACGACTTACATATAGTACAAATTTGACTATACAAGATTATAAATGAAAAGAGTATAAATTGAGTCAATTTTAATACAACACAATTGAATGAATATTTTATATTACCTTTGTTTTTTAGTCTTACCTATTTTTTACATAAATACTAAATAGATGAGTTATCTCAATACACAATACATTACGTTAAGTGAGATTTTGTAACGTTATGTCTTCTTGAAAATTCCAAACAATCTTAGGATGAGTTCTTTATTTTAAGCCCCTTGAAGAAATATTCTAGAGAATCTAAAAAGTGTTTCTAAATTAAACCTTCTTCAAGGAACATTCAAGAATATTTACATAGAATATTTTAGAGTCACCGTAAATGTTTAACATTTGACAATATTATAGTCATTCATGGTAAGACGAAAGGCCTATTAATAGGTGGGAATTTTCTTATTTGCAAGAACCAATAACACAAGCAATCAAGTCTTAGCATAAATTTGAGACTTTTTCATCTATGTTAGAGTTTTTACTTAATTATTTTTTTTCTCCAAAACATGTTTTTTTTTTGGTGATGATAGACACTGTAATCACAAAAAAACTTATCTCAAAAGACTCTAATTATTATAGTGTGTATTAAACTTGTTTGTGCCTCATAGATTTTCATTGAATGCATCTCTTTTCCTTCATACCACTGGTTTTGGAGATGATAGACATTGTCATCGCAAAAAAATTTATCTCAAAAGACTCTAATTCTTATAATGTGTAATAAACTTGTTTGTGCCTCATAGATTTTCATTGAATGCATCTCTTTTCCTTCATACCACTGGTTTTGGTGATGATAGACACTGTCATCACAAAAAAACTTATCTTAAAAGACTCTAATTCTTATAGTATGTATTAAACTTGTTTGTGCCTCATAGATTTTCATTGAATGCATCTCTTTTCCTTCATACCACTGGTTCAAAAGTATGAGAATGTTATATGCAGTGTCAATATATGTTTAGGCACTCCAATTCGTTCTATGAGTTTTTGAAGGAATAATTGAAAAAAAAAAAAGATTTCACAATCTACTTGAAACTTATGTCCATGTGAACACTGCAACATTTATTTGAAACAAGTCTTTTATGAAAAGAATTAACACCAAAAGGTTGGTCTACAGTTATAAGGACACAATGGCCTCCAATTGATCAACATTACAACAAAAAATATTTTTTATGACGATTTTAAATTTATCGCAAAAAATTTTTCTATTGGCGACGATTTTCTAAATTTGTCGCAAATTTCTGTTTTGACAATTTTTTTGTGACGTTTTTTTAAGTACGTCGCGGAAAGACAATTCCATCATAATTATTTTTGGCGGGAGAATTGGCAGTTTTTTATGACAAAAAATTTTCATCGCAAATAGTTTTATATTGTCACAAAAATAAATAATCTAAAATTTAAATTAAAAAAATTCTAAATTTCTAATTTTGGCAATTTTTTGTGACATTTTAAAAAAAAACGTCAATAAAAGGAGATTCACTCCTAACTATCCGCAACATTTTAAAAAAGTTGTCGCCAATAATTATTAAGGTAATATTTTGCGTGACGTTTTTTTAGTATGTCGCAAAAAATGTGAGTCCCAATTAAATAATCAAAAATTAAAAAGTTAAAATAAAAATTTAATTCACAACGTTTTTAAGTTCGTCTCAAAAAATATATTATCTGTGACGTTTTAAAAAATTTGTCGCAAATAATTATTAAAGTAATATTTTGTGCGATGTTTTTTTTAGTACGTCGCAAAAAATTTGAGTCCCAATTAAATAATCAAAAATTAAAAAGTTAAAATAAAAATTTAATTCACGACGTTTTTAAGTTAGTCTCAAAAAATATACTATTTGCGACGTTTTAAAAATTTTTTCTTGGATAATTATTAAGGTAATATTTTGCGCAATTTTTTTAGTATATCGCAAAAAATGTGAGTCCCAATTAAATAATCAAAAATTAAAAAGTTAAAATGAAAATTTAATTTTTTTTAGTATATCGCAAAAAATGTGAGTCCCAATTAAATAATCAAAAATTAAAAAGTTAAAATGAAAATTTAATTTGCGAAGATTTTAATTTCGTCGCAAAAAATATACTATCTGCGACGTTTTAAAAAAATTTGTCGCGAATAATTATTAAGGTAATGTTTTGCGTGACATTTTTTTAGTTCTTTGCAAAAAATGTGAGTCTCAATTAAATAATCAATAATTAAAAAATTAAAATAAAATTTTAATTCGCGATGTTTTTAAATTCGTCGCAAATTTGAATTTTAAACAAATATAAGCCAGCCATCGTTCTTTTCGCTCTTTCGTTCGATTGAAAAAACTCTTTTCCCTCTTCTTTGTCTCTTGCCGATTCTGTGCTCCCTCCCCTTTCCCTCTGATTTCTTCATTTCTTTTCCTGACTCACCCCCATAGATGTGAACACCAACCACTGAGCCCTAAAAATCTATAGCTGTCGAGGAATCCCTAAAAAGTGACCCAAGCATTGCAATTGAAATTCAAAGGCTAAGTGACCCAACGTGATTGAAGAAGACAAGGTGAGAAAGCATAGCCCTATCTGAGATTCGTCTGAGCCCATTGCATATCACCTTCGGCTGTCACGTGAAGAAAACACAAGATTCGCCTGCTGAAGAAGAAGTGCAACCTGGAAGCTGATTCAGTCTTTTAACTCCGTAATACCCGTGGAATCCAATGCTTTGTATACCCAATTCCCACTGATATCGGTGCATACAAGGTGTTTGTTGGAATGCCTAGAAGAAATATATTTTACCTTTGAAGTTCTTTGACATGGGCAGCCACTGATTTAACTATCTAGCATTTATCATCTTCCAGTTTCAAGGTATTATGCTTTAATTCTTTTTTTTTTTTTAAAGGTCAAATAGATATTAAGAATACATTGTTTCTTGTTGTCGCAATTGCTTTGTGACTGATTTTAAAAATACATATTATAAAATAAAAAGGCCTCCCTATAATTTAGCATATTCTTCTTTCAACCTCGCAGGAATCTGACCAAGTCAATCTCATCATCACTCCATCACACACAGACAGACATTGGAGTCAAAGACCAAGACACAGAGGTTTGTTCTTTTTATCAGATCTCAATGCCTTCTTCGTTGTTCCAAAGCTCTTGATTACTTATTGGACATAATTATGGTTTCATTATTGTTTATTTTGCATTTGCCTCTCATCATGAAGATGATACAGACACTTACATACTCAAATTATTGATTTTTCTGTTTGGATCTTTTGTTGGCATACCCTTATTTTTCTATTGCCGATTGGTTTCTCGTATGCATGTGATTGTGTGGTTTATCGATTACATTCTCTTGATAATGTCAACATAATTAGAAAAAACTCAAACCTGATATCTATTGTTAAGAAAGAGTGATTGTGAAAAAAAGCTTTGTTGAGTAGACCTTGAATTGTATATCTATTGTTATACACTTTATTTTACTATATTTGACCCTTTTGGAGGTGTGTAGATCTTTATGCATTGTCAAGATACTTTGATGCCAGTTTTAAAGGCCCCATGGTGGAATCACTGGCGGATTGTTCATGTGGATATAAGCAAGTTGAGGACAAGCAAGCGAGTGCAAAGCTTGATGAATCTGAACTTAGACTGGCCCAACTTCAGCGTCAACTTCCCTCCAATGAACCTGGTGCTTTGATGCACCTTGTTGAAGATGCTGCAGGCAAGGATGAAGATGACGAAGAAACGGGGGAATGTAAAAATATCTTCAAAAATATTAAATTCTTCTTGAGTCGTGATGTGAGATTTATTGTTTGTCATTCGAAACTGTAGTATTTCATTAGGCTGTTTCTTCGCCAATAGATAGGATTTAAATTCTTATTGTTTTGCTTTTTTCTTCTCAGTCTTTCACTTTTGTGCCATGTTGTAAGATTTGTTTCTTTTGTTGATGGGCTTCCCTTGCAGACATTGTCCTTCATTTTAACGTTAATTGGGTTCGTACTAGTTTGTTGATACATACACAGGTGTGGGACTTAGAAAAGAAAAGTTCTTCCAATACCAGGTGTGGGACTCAGAATGTATTGGTCGAAGGTATTATCGACCGGGCTGAAGCTATTGAAGCTGCTGAGAAAAAGCGGAAGGTATAGTCTCCCATTGGATGTTAATTAACTGTAATATGGATGGTGATGGTGAAATAGAGCTGGATCATGCAACCCTGCCACTTCATTGGCACAAAAACTTGTATTGTCATTGTTAGAATGATTATGTAGATAGTTATATGGATTCACTAAAAATAAGCATAAAGACCTGAAAGAAGAATCAGTTATTCTATTTATATATAATGATGATAAATACTTTGAATGATCTATGGACCATCTAATATATTAAGCAAGATAAATACTTTGAATGAATCCTATTTCGATTCAAAACAAATATGCCGGCTACAGGTACTTTTTGTTTTGAATTTTCTTGTTTTCACAGAAAAGCTTGGGTGTGCTGCTGCTAGTTTTTAAGTATGAAAGGGTCAACTTTTTTCTTGGAAATGCATATATATATTCCTTTTTTTGGTCACTGCTTTTTGACTCCCTCTTCTTTAATTGCTTTCATTTCTTATCCTTTGTCCTTTGCTGTTACCTATTTAATTATTTAGGCCAAATTCACACAAACAGAATGCATTTCGTTGTTATCTGTTCTGTCACTGAATATATGAGGTTAATGCACCTGATTATTTAAGCTGTCAAATTTGGGATGGATGCAGATGTCAATTCTTGAGAAACAATATCATGATGAATTGAAAATAGAACTTCAAGGCGTCCAGTAGTCTTCTGTGTCAAATACGAGTAAGCAGAATTCTGCTGATGACACAGAGGCTGGAGGAGAATCTCTTCCTGATTTACAGCAAATTGCTGAGGATGCTGCCAACATTTCCAAGTTTGTGATGTCACGTAAAAAGAGGAGGCTCTATGAAGCAATGCAGGTAATTTTCTTGACATTATTATTCTGCCTTAATTCTTCCTTCAAGGTGTGTAATGCTTATTTTTTTTCCTTCCCTTTTTTCATCAGAAGTGCCACATAAAAATTTGTAGTTAACTATTAAACAGATGGATTTGTCTGCTTTTATATTCTGTCTCAGAATCCCATCAGTCGGGTTGTCTTGGTTCACTATTTAATCATTGGCATGGTGCTTTGAGTTTGTGCTGTTAGGAAAGCTAATCGTGTTACTTAGATTTCTGTTTGGAAAGTGGATAATGCCGGGTCTTTTTCTTTTACTTGGATAGTTGTGAGTTGTGACATGTAAACTCATAAAATGACTTGACTCCTGCAAAATGCTATTTAAAACGCAGGAAACTGATTTAATTTCCGAGAAATTTCGAACATTCTTTAATGATTTCCCCTCCCCCTTCCCCCCTCCTTTCCTAATGGTGCCACTCATTCTTGGTAGTTCATTATTCTATAGATATGATTTAAACATTACTATAAGACTTCTAGATTGCTTAAATTCACAGGTTCACATATAGTGAGCAGTGACATGCTACTTCCTTCTAATAATCAAATCAGACCTGCAAAATTTTCGAATACAAACATTAGTGTTATAGACCTGCAAAATTTTCGAATACAAACATTAGCGTTAAAATTACCCAGTTGAGGATCTAATGTGGCTTAATCTATTCCAATCATGATAGGTAGCCTGGAAAATATCAAGAAGTCGTACTCCCAGAAGGTAATCTTTTGTCTTGGTGAATAGTTCCCTTTTTCTATAAAACAGTCATAAGAATGCTAATCTTCACGTGAACAATGAATGCAGCAGATAAAGGTTATATTATTGTTGTTCTTATATAATTTTTTAAGGTTTTTCCATTACTGGGATGGGATGTTGCATTTGTCTGTGTGAGGATGTTGATGCTAACACCATCATAAGTGTTAGTGTTGATTTTTGGGCAAAAGATTTCTAGACTTCCACCCCTTTGCATTGAACATGTTCCCTGTTATTAGTTATACGTGAAAAAGGCTTTATGAGCCCATCTTTACTTACAAACACCATTCCAAACTTGCATGTTTTTATGCATTATGGAAACGCCTCTCCAGGTTTTGAGTAAGCTTTAATCCACTCATTATGCACGATCACCTTTGAGCTGTAAACATGCTAAGGTTTCGCCTCAATTAGAGTATTTGCATGTATTGCTGCATATGGACTTAAAATATCTTTCTTTGGTAGGCTTGAGCTCATTTTCCCCTGTTGACTCAACAGTCTCGTGTGCAAGTTTTACATGTGTCCTAATTAGTTTCTTTTATTTTCTTTTCTTACTGTAAATTATGCACATCCACATCCGTATTTTACTGAATTAGCCACCTAATAGCACCTCTGGTGTGTTAAAACTTTGTTTTCTATAATTGTACTGATATATTGAAAGCTAAGATGGACTGATCTTTTGGTCGTTGCACCTGGAAAACTTGAGATTAGTTGCCTTCTTTCTTTTCTTCTGGTCACCAGTATTTTTACTAATGTTATTCTCATGGTTTAATGTTGGCCTTATTTGGCTGGTTATTTTTATAATTGGAATATTTAATTTCTTGCTTATGATACTATTTGTATGTTGTGTGTTTAGTCCTTTAAGAGAAAGAAGCACCAGCAACAGCAGCAGCAGTAGTTCACCCCTTCGTAAGCCTAAGTCATTGAGGAATGTGACTTTCAATGAGCCCTTTTGCTTGATACAATATGCAGATGGTATTTCAAGGCATGGATCTAGATTGTTGGAGTTGTTCAAGTTTAAGAGACGTTAAATGTAATTAGAGATGGTTTAAATCCTCTTGAAGGATTCAAGCTATTTTTTCTATTTTTAGAACTTCTTGTTCTTTGATTCTCGTAATTCATTCTTTTTGGAATTAAAATCGTTTTTTTTTAAAAGATGTGAAATATATGTTGAATTAAAAGATGTGAAATATATGTTGAATTAAAAAGATGTGAAATGTATTAATTGTTAGTTTTTTATTGAACACAAGTATTATTGGTATACCGGTGAAATTTTTTATTGGAATATTATTTTTTATGAATTATTTTTTTTAAAAAAATGAACTTTTTTGTGACCAAATTAAAATCGTCGCGAAAAAATGTAGGAATAATATTTTTCGAGACGAATTTTATACATCGCAAATGTATTTATTTAATTATTTTTTATATTTTTATTTATGTAAAAAATTATTTGCGACGTTGTTTTTACGTTGCAAAAATTAAATTATTACTTTTTATATTTTTATTTTTATGTAAAATTATTTGCGACGATTTGTTTTTGTCGCGAAAAATTAATTAAATTATTATTTTTTATATTTTTTATTTATGTAAAAAATTATTTGTGACGATTTTATTTTCGTCGCGAAAAATTAATTAAATTATAATTTTTTTATTTTTTTATTTTTTTTCGCTGGTAGAATATTTTTTAGCTACTTTTTTGAAATTTTATGCGACGAAGTTATTACGACAAACACGCGACAAAAAAAAAAAGTCGCAAAAAATAATTAGCGACAAAAAAAAATCGCTGCAAAAAATAATTTTTGTTGTAATCGGTGCAAAATTGAACTAAAAGTGGACTTATGAGTTTTAAGCCATGAGAAATCATTTAATATCGTCTTTTGTCCCCTTGGTAAGAGTTTTAAGGGCTCAACGGGTTTGAAACTAAGCCTTTTATAACAATTATTGAGGTTGGTGTAAAGCTGTAAGGACACAATGACCTCCAACTGATCTGGATACCCAAAATTGAATTATAACTTTCCTAAATGCTTCTAACTTTTATTTTCGATTTGACAGTTCAAGATTCTTTATTCTGGGTTTCCCTGAAGATCTCAGGTCTGAGGCATCCAAACATATATTGTAGTGTTCACGTGGATATAAGTTGCAAGTAGACTGCAATGTTAAAATTTTTTCTATGAGTTGAATATTATTAAGTGATCTATTTTGATGAGTTTATATACATCTTTAAATTGACGTGGTTGAGGCAGTTAAGTGTACACCTTAATCTAATTATGATCCGTAATGAGAGAGCCCATTAAATTTTATTATAAATAGTAGACTAGGTCCCCTTTCCACTTCATAATCTTAAATTGGTTTGAAGAAGGAGATGAAGACCTTACCCTTTCAAGAAAAAAATTTAGAGATCGAGTATCATGGCTTATACATGTATGTTTTAAACCTTATAATTTAGGTGCCTAAATTTCATATACGAATCATTAAAATTTCTTACATGTGATATCTGAGCCTATCGTATATGAATTTAGAACCCGATAAAATTCATGTATAATTAAACTACTAATTTTTATCCGATTTAGCGTTCAATTTTTGCATCACTGTTCATGGCCTTATTAATTAAAAGTTACGGTATATATATCTATATGGTGTATATATGACATTCAAGAAAAAAAAAGAAGGGAAGACATGGATTTGAATAGTGGTAGTATGTCACAAGAAAAAAAAAAAAAAGTAGTATTGTAAGGTTAACAAAAAAAAAAAGAGTGATGACAGCATCAAATCTATAATATAAAACACAACGAACTTCAACAAGATGACCTTCATTTGTCCAAAGACTTACAATACATCTCATTAAAATTTAACCTAACTTAATCAAACCCAACCATCACATATAGCCCAACCCAACCCAACCCAACATCGGTTCTCTCGTGTCCTCTCTCTCTCCCAACGGCTCTTCCCCCAGATCTCTTCTCTCTCATCTCCTCCCTTCTCACCCGACCGTTAACCCCTCTCTCTGATCTATCTTTCTCTCTTCTCCGTTTGTCCAAACAGCGACCCACCACAGCTCTGTTCCTCTCTCACTCTCACGCCGCCCGCAGAGACGTCGCCAGCAACGACGATTCTCACTCTCCAGGTATCTCTCTCTCTCCCTCTTTACCCCTATTTGTCTTCCATCTTCGGTTACCAGCATGATCACACCCCTTCACCATAGCTCCAATCAATGGCACATGAAGTGTTTGTTAAAATGCCATAGAGAAATATTTAGCAATAAAACAAATATGATGTGATTTTTAAGATTCCAGGTGCTATCGACCTTCACAAGCAGCAGAGGAAGAAGCCTAAGAAGTCTCTTCCCCACGTGTGTACATGGAATGAGACTCCAAAATTGTACCCGTTTAATGACTTGGTGAAAATTGAGAAGTGTAGTTCCTATGTGTTTTTCTTAGTGAAATCAATGATAGTATTTAATTGTTTTCTTTGGTCTACATAAATCTATGTTTGTGCCTACGCATAATAGGCTATGGGTATTTTTGTTGGCAAATATATTCAACTAGGAATTGACGATCTCTCTCTCTCTCTCTCTCTGCATATACATCCAAACAACACAAGCCCATATGTCCTCTGTTGTATATATATTTACTTCCATTATCTGGGTTAGCTTTGTGGTCTCTTGTGTAGTAATAGTAGCGCTGTTGAGTTAGAGCCTCGAGATTTCTGCAATATCAAGAAAGTCTTTCTTGGGTTAGTCTCTCTCTCTCTCTCTCTCTCTCTCTCTATCTCAAACACACACACAAACACACAAATGATTATAACATGTCGTGCATAATTTGGAGGATGTGAACTCATGTTTAGTTAATGATTTTGGAGTTTCTTTGGTCGCTGCTTTTGTGGGTGTAAGTAAACCACTGCTTTGCCAGAGAAAAAGAGGAAGCTTGCACCATTGTACTGTGTATGAAAATGTTTGTGAAGAATGACTTTTTTGGTTACTGTGAAAATTTGGAGGAAAGAAAAGTAAATCAGATTTTTTTTTCAATCTTTTGTTCCATGATTGATTAAATACTTGTAACATGTTCAGTAACATCGAGTCTTCAATTTGTTTTTTCTTTGCCACATTGTCTATCCAATTTAGCAGAGTATTCATGGTTAATTGGTCTATTCAATATATTAGTGGAATAGTTGCTTTCTTTTTGTTTAGTTTGTGGTTTAAATTAGAACAGATCGTGTTGCTCAGCTATTACATGTTGAATTAGTCGCACCCTAAACACAATATCGTAGCAACAATGTTCGGCAAGAAATTCTTATAGTGAACACCCATTTATTATTTCCTCATGACTCCAGTTATTGTCTGGAACGATTGCGTCAGGTAGATAAACTTCTTTGTCAAACTGTTGGTTTGTATGCATCTCACTTCATTTTCATATTATTCGGTGTTCATATTCTTAACCTGTATTTTGTGTGTCTTCTAATAGGTCTACAAAATCTTGCAGCATGTCGAGTCATTTCAGAAGGAAAATAAGCTTAATCCACTGCCCATTATATTGTGCGGGTAAGTTCTGAGTAATTGTATTCCTGTCTGAGTGGTCTTACAAACTACCAAGGATTTTTGATATTGCAAACAAGGTCATGTTTACAAATTCCTTAGATCTCAGGGGTTTGTGTCATCATATGATATTGCTCATCAGTACACTGATGCAGATGCGCACAAGGTCACTACTTCACTTTTAGTTGATAATCTCAATTACTTATGACAAAAATGATGTAGTAGCTTATATTGGTTTCTCATGTTTTATTTGTTCACATAGTGGGTTAGCCATCGTAATCATCAAGGAAACATCTGTGGTGTAGATTTTATAGGGTTTCTCAATCTTGATGGATACAAGAAACTATTGAAAACAAGTTGGAATGAAGCAGTATTTGGCATGTTTAAGGCGAGCAATAAAGTTACCCTTTTTTTTCTTTCTTATTATCACTCTTGATATGCAGTTCTTTTGATTGATCTATAGATGCAAATCTTAAAAGCTGAGAAACTATATTGAAGGTCATTTAACATAGGGTGCGAGGATGGTGAGGAGCTAAGGAATGCTAATGGTTGTTTCTAATTGAGGACAACCAACATACTTCATGGCTTCATTAGGCTTGCAAGACAAGGTGCCAGTTTGAGATGTGGTCTCAGGGTCCCTTTCCTACATGCACGGGTTTAAATTAGAACAAATGGCAGGGGCACTATATTCTACGTGTGTACATTAAGACTTGATAATGTTATTGCCATACATGAGCATAATGATGGTTAGTAACAAATTTGACCTGTAGTATGAAGTACATAATTTTCCTTGGTTTAGTTTAACTTACGAATTTTCTTTGTAGTTTATCATAGGTTAGTTTTGTCTAGCTTTTTTCTTTGTTGGTGAACAATTTTGAAACTCATTTACCTTATAAATGAGAAAGATTTCATTGAGTTTGTTGTGGTTTGAAATATTCATAGGTTGTTCGTGTTTTTTGAAATTAAAATAAGGAAGCATGTAGATGACATTAAAGCCTCAGGCTTACAATAACCCCCCTTTCATTCATTTCTTTCCTATATAAATGATGGATTACTTTTAATCCATTTCTTGTACTCTTTCGAGATCATGGATTATTTTTATTCTTTTTTCAACAGATTATTGCATAAAGTACTGGATATGTTTGTGCATATGTGTGTCCGGTTGAAAATATTAAGTTCCAAAAATGATTTTTTTTTTTAAAATAGGCACCCATGAAGCATGCTTTTTAAAATCATAAGCAAATATATGTCTGCGCTTGATTTTTTTGCTCGATTTTGAAAGCACTTTCTGTGTTCTCATACTATCACTTCAAATTTCAAAATTAGGTGTCAGGTGTAAATTGTAACATATATTGATTGACAGACTCTTCATTTTAGCTTAGATTCATCTATAAAAAAAATACAAATACTTTTTTCCTCATTCACTCCCACAATGCAAAACATTTAGTGGGAAGCTCCAAAAATGATCATTTTTCAAAAATTTTTGCTTGATGGAAATGTTGCCATCAATAGATGCAAATACTAACATCAATTACCTTAATGTGGTTTTTTTTTATAATTTATGGGAGGGGAGGACCATTTTCTACTTGGCCTTGATGACAACAGAATTTGCTCTTTCCTCACTATTTAGCCTAGGCTTCAGGTCACTGCTACAGGGTCTTTTCATGAAGGAATATATTGAATGTATGAACAAAATTTGTTTCTTCTTATTTTTCCAAGTTTATTTGTGTTATGTTATTGTTTATGTTGAGGTCTATTTTTCTGACAATTGCAGGGATGATATATCTTTTATCGACCCCCACTTTTTAAATTTGATTTGCTAGTCTTTATCTTTTTTTTTTTTTTTTTGGCTCATTACCCATTTTATGCAACCTATTAGGATTACGGACTTCTATTTTCTGCTCATATGTAACGTTTTATTTTTATTCCTACTTGCTATGGTGTTGGTCGCCTTAAGTAAATGTCATTTATTCATTGAATCTGTAGAAGTTTTTGGTCCACTGGACTTGTTGTTTCAAACATTCCTCCTGTAATAATAGAGGCTCTTTGACATATTTCTCTTTTAAGTGTTACATGAGACTTTATTAGGTAGAATTAGTTCATGTTTTTGGCACACGCTCTTAGACTTTATCATATGAGATTGTTTTATTTATTTGATTCACTTTGCCAGTACATTACATCTGAGGAGAATTGTATTTGTCCTATTTTTTGTGATTCATTTACATATTCTAGTTATTTGTTGTGTTGTTTCGATTGCAGTACACTTCACTTAACCCCCTGGGTGACAGAGTGTTGGTCAAGATTAAGATTGCAGAGGAGAAGTCTGGAGGTGGTATCTTACGGCCAACAACGGCATAAACAAAGCCCCAAGGAGGTGAGGTGGTTGCTGTTGGAGAAAATCAGACACCAGCATAAAGGTAATTGTTTGGGATTAACACATTAAAATCACAGGAGACCTTTGACTCACTGAGTTTGTGTTCTTCAATGATATTTTTGACTAGGGTTTCTCAGACATTTTAGGCGTGTTTACAACAATTGGGTTTTCAAATATGTTTACAACAATGGCTTTATAAATCTAAATTTCAACTCTTTGTGTTTATTTTGGCCATTTCCAACATAAAGATAAGAATTTTTTTTTTTAGTCATGTTTTTTTAAATAAATGTTTGTCTCAATCTCTCTTTCTCTCTCTCTCCCTCCCCCACTCCTACCCCTCTGCGCAACGCACCCTCTACTGCACTATGTAATTTGAACCATCCATATTTAGTGCGTGCGTTTTTTTTTTCGATCAATATTTAATTTTTTTAAAATTGCATAGTGCCTTTAGGAACGAATTATCATTTCATGCATTTTTTTATGCGTGTTTCATTTGGTGGGTTTAGTTTTCTAAGTTACATTATGGGTTTGTTGATAGGTGGTAATAGCAAATGTCGTCCTCAAAGTTCAATTGAATGAATGCAGAAGTCTTTGTCTTCGCGGGCCCACCATGTTCATGCTCCCACAGTGTTGATTATCATGGAGTTGTCTACTCTATAACTAATAAAAAAATCGTGTTATTTTGGATGTATTATATTGGTAAACATATGATATGGTGGATATATTATGTGTAGTCTAAATACGCTTATGAATTGTTTCTAAAATTGCATTGTGCACTCAAGGTGGTATATAAAATTGTTATGTGTTTGTAGTTTATATTGTGCATTTTTAGAGTAGATACCAACTCAATTTCAAACTGTGATGTGCAATTGCGGTTGCTTCGTGTCCTTGGGCACGGGTTATTGGATATGAATAGTTTGATTTTTGGGAATTGTAATAGTTATTTTTTAGTTATGTATACAGGTTAATATTTCCATAATCTCTTATTTTAAAATGAGACTCTAACGAAATTTTACAAAAATAGCGAGTTATTGTTAGAGTGATTTAATTTTTTTTAATTAAATGATATAAATACTAACTTGTATCAAATTAATCGTATTTGCGCGAGTTTTTTTTTTGTTTAATATGGTGAACTAAATAAATGTTTATGTGGATATGTTTGGTTTGATGTGAAATTGCTTGTTTTTTTAGTTGTTTTATGCATTCTTTAGTTTTGTATACTGGTTCATATTTTCAATAGAAATCATGTCAAAATTTTTAAAAAATATTGGGTTATTAGTAGATTAATTGATTTATGTGATCTAAAAAAAAAATTACTACATTGATTGTACTTCCTTTAATTAAATAAAAGAAAGAATAACCTACATTAAATTAATCGAATTTTTGTGCGTTGCAAAGTGTCTTCACTTGTTGGTTGTTTGTCTTGATTTTTTTTATATGTCTGTTGTGTGAACAGAGTTTAGTAAAGTGAACCAAACACACATGTGATTGGTTTACTTTGATTGGAATTGATGGTTGTCAAAGTTTGATGGGTTCAAAATGGTGATTTTGGAGGAAATTTTGATTATGAACTTTGATTATTGTTATTTGATTGTGAAATTTTGAATTTTGTGGACAAGTTGTAAATTTCTTGGGCTGTTATTGTTAAAGTAATTTTTGCCGAAATAGAAATTGCCAAAAAAATGTTAACTTGTCTATACTGATTTCAATTTTTTAATTAAATCAATTTTAATTTTTTTTTGTTCATATTAGTTGGTTGGTTTACATTATACTGTGCCTTCACACACGGGTTATCCCTAATTTTTCGTACAATCGTCACCAAAGTTGAATTCCGTGTTGAATTATTATTATTATATTTTTTGGTTCAAAAATTTTAAGCCGCCATTTGATTGCCATGAATTTAGACCGTTACGAATGACGACTATGCTTGATATATATATATAGATATATAACGGCTACTTGGCTTGAATTCTTTTGGCATATGATGGCTACTTGTGGATAACACGTGTTAATAACATGGGTCATGTTAATGAATTGATGTAGATTTTATTCATATAAATTATTTTTTTATGTTAATGTAATTTTGATTGAATTTTTATAATTTATAGATGGTGTTTGTACAATTCTAATTTTAGCCCCTAATGATTTATATGTTGAAATTTTTTTTATAATCTACATATTATTTATTAAATGTTGGTAGATGTGAATTTAAATTACTTAATTTTAATAGTCAAAATAAAATTAAGACCTGAATGCAACAATTGATGATAGGTGATGTAAAGAGATACATATTGATTAATACTTCATATTGATTGATCACATAATATTTAATTATGAATAATTTATTATAATATCTTGGTTTGAAAAATTCTATGAGTTAAGATGAATGGTTGCCACCAAAGTGGTCTATTCATTAAAATTTATAGTTTTTTCTCATGCTTTTGTTACGAGATTGTCTCTAAATTATAATATACAATTACCTGTCCAAAGGAGATTGTTGTGTAATGTAATTTAGAGATGTCATGAAATATTGTGGTAGAGATGCAATAGTCTAGAAGGTTTATCTGCCCAAAAAGGGATAAAATTTTCTAAACTTGAGGATTTTTATTGGTTAGTTTTATGAAAAGAGAGGATCTATATCATATTGCATTCTATGCCCAAAAGAGAGTTTGTAGTGATATATTTGGACTTTCTTAATAAAATATGTCTTATTATGTTCAAAACATATTTTATTTATTTATTGCCCAATTTTGCTAATTATTTATATTCTCGTTGTTTTGTACAGTCTCTTTTGTTTGTGAATAGTAATAATGTCAACATTGAACTCTTGACTGATTCTAATTATAAGAGATGGAAGCAAGATATTGAGTTTACCCTGAGAATTGCTAATATGGACTTTGCATTGAAAGATAATGAACCTGCTAAACCTATTAGTGAGAGTTCTCCTGATGAAAAAGAACTTTATGCAAAGTGAGAGAAATCTAATAAGTTAAGTATGATTACTATGAAAAGGTCTATCTCTGAACACCTTATGAGTGGCTTGTCTGAAATCAAGAATGTCAATGAGTTCTTCACTGCTGTAGGAGAGAGATACAAGGTATCCAATAAGACTGAAGCTAGAGGCTTAATGAATGAATTAACGAGTATAAAATATGAAAATGTAGGTGATGTTAGGGAATATGTTGAAAATTGTTATTCCTAATGATTTCATTGTTCATTACACTTTTAAATCCTTTGCCTCAAAACTGCCTACAATACCCAAAATAAGTCCACAATTAATGCCTTTATCTCTAAGTGTGATTCTAAAAAAAAAAACTTAGAAAAGAAAAGAGTGAAACTGTCTTATTTGTTTCTCAGCCTAAATTTAGTTTCAAAGATCGGTATCAGAAAAATAATAGAAAATATAATCATAATGCTCCAAAGAATGGTCGGAATTTCAAAAGACATGGTACTAATCAAAATGTGGGAGGTCCTAAGGCTGCTATTAAAAATGTCAAGTGTTACTTTTGCAAGAAAAGAGGTCATAAGAAAAGTAAGTGCACTTGATTCAAGTCTTAGTTAGAAAAGAAAAATAAAGAATAAGGTAATTCACTAACCTTTGTTTGCTTTGAATCCAATTTTGTTAATGTCCCATTAAATTCTTGGTGAATTGATAGTGGGGCTTCTGTTCATGTTATCAATGACTTTGCAGAGATTCACAAGCAAACGAATGCCAAGTGAAGGGAAAGTCAAGTTTAAAGTAGGAGATAATAATGAAGTTCATGTTGAGTTCATAGGAACTGTTAGGTTGAATTTAGACACTGATTTTTAACTTGTTTTAAAAAGTACTTTTTATGTACCGTCATTTAGGTGAAATTTGATTTCAGTTTCTTTGCCTGATAAAATTGGGTATTGTTTTAATTTTAGTAATGGTAAAACTTAATTGTCTTTAAATTTCAAAATTGTTGGTCATTGTGTTTTATTAGATGGTCTATATAGTATATGCTTGACTATCAATAATGAATATGATCTTTCAAATATTGTGAATGTTATATATAAGAGACCTTTTATTAAAGAAAAATCTTCACAGTTGTGGCATAAAACGTTTGGGTCACATTTTTAGAGAAATAATGGAAAGATTAATAAATAATGATATTCTTCCTCCCCTTAATTTTGGAGACCTTGAAACTTGTGTTGACTGCATTAGGGATAAATTGACCAAGACTAAGAAAAAAAGTGCAACTCGCAATCTAGATTTTTTAGAAATCATTCACATTGACATCAGTGGACCTTACTCACGTACGTTGTGTGGTAATAAATATTTTATTACATTTATTGATGATTTCTCTCGTTATGAATGTATTTATTTAATTAATGAAAAATTTGATGCTCTTGAAAAGTTTAAAATTTTCAAGACTGAGGTAGAGAAACAATTAGGAAAAGTTATCAAAATGTTAGGTCTGATCGTGGTGGTGAGTATTATGGCAAACATGACGTGTCTGGGTAGCATTTAGGACCGTTTGTTAAGTACTTGCAAGATTGTGGAATTGTTGTCCAATATACCATGTCTGGTAGTCCCGTGTAGAATGGTGTGGCTGAAAAGCGTAATCGTACCTTTAAAGACATGATGAAGAACATGATGAGTATGTGTAACTTACTTGATTATCTTTGGGGAGAAGCCATTAAAACGACTTCATACATTCTTAATAAAATTTTTAGCAAATTTATTCCAAAAACACCTTTTGAATTATGGACCAACATGAAACCAAACCTTAACCATTTTCAAGTCTAGGGTTGTCCTACTAAAATCAAAATCTATAATCCTTTTGAGAAAAAGACTGATTATAGAACTACTCGTTGTTTCTTCATAGGTTACCCAAATCATTCTAAAGGATATTGGTTCTATTGTCCTACACGTGATACTAAAATTGTTGAGTCCTTAACAGCAAAATTTCTGAAGCATAATGTTGCTGATATTGGTTACTCACAGCCTATTAGTGTGCATGAACAAGATAAATTTATTTCTATTCCTTTACCTGTTGTGCAAGAATATTATACATGCTTCTGTTGTTAATTTTCTTGCTCCATTTGTTGATCCTCCTGTTCTTACAATTGAATCTTCTATTTCTATTGAGGCTCGTCTGCCCTTAGAGCCAATTACTAAAATTTCTTTGAGAAGGTCTACAAGACCAAAAAGACTTGTTATTTCTAATGAATATTATGTATACTTTGGAAAAAATGATTATGATATTGGTGATATTGTTGATTTTGTAACATACCATAATGCTATTACTTGTCCTCAATCTAATATGTGGGTAGGTGTCATGAAAAATGAGATGCATTCTATGACACACAATGAAGTGTGGGAACTTGTGGAATTTCCTGAGGGATGTAAACCCATTGACTATAAATGAGTGTTTAAAACTAAGATGGACTCTAAAGGTAAGATTGAAAGATTTAAAGCTAGATTGGTAGTAAAAGGGTATAGCTAAAGGGAAGGTATAGATTTTCATGAAACTTGTTCACCTGTCTTTACTAAAGATTCTTTCAGGATCATTATGACATTAGTGACTCATTTTGATCTAAAATTTCACCAGATGGATGTGAAGACAACTTTCCTAAATGGTGAGCTTAGTGAAGAAGTTTATATGATGCAACCTGAAGGTTTTAAGGAGAATGAGAAAGAACAATTAATGTGCAAGTTGAAGAAGTCTATCTATGGTCTCAAACAGGCTTCTCGTTAGTGGTACTTGAAATTTGATGAGATAGTAAGTTCTCTTAGTTTTGTTGAGAATAAGATGGATCAATGTATATATCTTAAGGTCAGTGGGAGCAAATTTATTTTTCTTGTTCTTTATGTTGATGATATTTTACTTACAAGTAATGATTTGAGTTTACTTTATGAGATTAAGCAATTGCTGTGAAAAATATTTGACATGAAAGATCTTGGGGAAGCATATT